TTGAAATAGGATATATTCTGCTGCATTTCTATTGTTTTGAAATGTTTTGTATAGTTAAACATCTGTTGAAAAATGCTATAAGTGCTGTTAGTATATTGGGACCTAAGTGTTTAATCATTTCATAACTAATTCCTGTTGGGCTACAGGCTTTGTTATTGGGTAGTTGTTGTATAGTACTCATGATTTCTTCAGTAGTAATTTCTTGAAGTATAAAGGTATACTATCCTCTATTAATACTATAGTTAGGTTGGTAGATATCTTTCCAATTATTGTTAAAAATATCTTCATCATGTGGATGATGGGCTGTCCATTCATTAAAATGATTGCTAACATGTTGTTTAATTTCTGTAGGATCAGTAATTAAACTGTCATTAGCTTTGATATTTTGAAGGTATACTGTGTCAGTATGTCAGTTTAGTATACTGTTGATCATTTTGGTTGGTTGAGTAGTTAGATGTTCGCATCATTTGTTAGTGGCTAGGTTAATATGATTTCTAAGATATTTAGCATTCTCTAGGTTTCTGGCATTGTAAAGTGTTTTTCAAAAAGTTTTTGTATATTGTATCCATGTAGTTAGGTTAGATTGGTACTTAGGAGGTGGTTCAATAGTAAAGTTATAAGTGTTGTTGATGTAGTTGATTAAGTTGTGAATGTTAGTAGGTATAGTGTTTGGTGAGAAAAATATTTTTTGGTACGATGCATTATATGATCTATAGTTTTAAGATTGTAGTATAGTTGAGTTGCTTTTGGTATAAATGTATGATGAAAATTTTTAACAGTATATTTTTTGTTAGAAATATGTTGAAATGCTGTATTGATAATACTGATATATATTTTGTGCCATATTTTTTCTAAGCTTTCTGCTGTGTTTATTGCAGTTAAGGTCTGGTGTTGTATTATATTAGAATTTACTTAATCTGTAAAATTGTTCTAATCTTCTTTGGATATAACTTTGTAATTAAATATACGTCGTTTGCTTTTGCTTTTATGTTTGACCTTGGTCATAGCAAATGGAAATGTCCATGTTGATGTTAATATTTGGTAGTCACTGTTAGTAGAAGCTGATGAATTGTCAAGTTTGAATTCTTGTAAGTAAGATATAAGAGAGTCATAGGCCTATATATAGTCAATTCTAGTCTGATATCATGAACTGTGCCATGTATTTTGTAGATTAT